AATAAATTTATAGATGAGCAATTTAAGAATTTATTACAAAAATTAAATATTCAACCATTAACCTGTAATAATTATGCTAATTATCGTCAAGAAGTGATAGGTTCCCCAATAAAAGAAATAGTACCAGTCGATTATGGAAAAACAATATTTGTACACTTTACATATTGTTCAAGTATGAGAACATTTCCAAAAAAATTTCATACTCTTTGGAATAAATATTTTGGCAAATCTCCGATTAATGATGTTTTGCCTATTCTTGGTACACGTAATGTCAAAAATCTACAACGATAATTAACTTATATAATCTAAATTATATGTTAAATTTTTAATAGATTAAAAATCCTGATATGATTAATAATCATTACAAATTTATCGTTCGTGATGATATTGGTAATTGCCCTCAAATAATATTAATTCATATTAATGGACTTTATATTGAACAAACAAGTTCGATTATTTCTTCAATTGGTAGCTATCAACCAATCTCACGAATCTATCGCTTATGAGAAGAGAATGACGGATGATCATCGAGATTTTTCTTTTTCAACTTTATCATCAATCGATCCAATAGATATTCCGTTGAAAAATACTGATTTAAAATCATCATCAGAACAAACAACACGTCGTGCATCGGGTTATTCTGAATATGATCATCGACCTTTAACTAATTAAATATTTTATATTTTGATCTTGAAAATATTTTTTTTCAATTAATTCTTTTTCTTGTTGTTTCGTCTAAGGTTGTCTCCTTTAAGCTATAGTGTGGATTTATTATTTTTTTCATTATATTTCATTTGTGCTTTCTATTATAAATGCAGAGCCCTGATGAGTGTTTCAAATTTTTAAATAAAATAAACATGAAACGCGTCGGCGAAATAACTCTGCATTTCTTTTTAATTATTTTAATTCAAGCACATTTATATATTATCCTATTTAGTTTTACGACAAGAAATCGATTGCTGAAAAGCAAGAGTTGAGACTAGCAGATTGATTTGTATTATTGAAATATAAGTCAATCTGTTTTCCAATTGATATACTTAATAATATCATACTGAATGGTATCCTCAGAGACAAATAAGTAATATTATTGTACTCAATTGAACAGTATCGTCAAAGATAAATATATATTCAAGCCCCTATTCGTCTTTTGCTCAAAATAATTTTTGTGCTATTATTTTTGTTTTGGTATTTTTTGTTTTTTCTGTTTTATGCTTTTCGCTTTGTTGCTTAATTTGTTTTGCTTTATTCTAATGCAGAGCCCTGATGAGTGTTTCAATATTATAATAAATAACACGAAACGCGTCGGCAAAATTAACTCTGCAGTAATTTTTTAAAGAAATTCTAATTCAAGCAAATTTTTTTAATATTTTATATTTGACATACAAAAATCGGTTGCTGAAAAGCAAAAGTTGAGAGTAGCAGATTGATTTGTATTTTAAGAAATATAGGTCGGTCTGTTTCATATTGATTTGAGTACACTCAATTATCTTAGGAATCAAATTCGTTGAAATTTATTATTCAAATTTGATCCACTGATCTTTCAACTTATATAACGATTTATGTCATCAATAACATATAGCAATCCTACTAATCCAATTCCTGTACAACAACAGCCTATAGCATCACCACCACAAGGTTATATAATGAGTCAACGTCGTCGTCGTGGTGGTGTTTTAGGGGCCAATTTATTAAATTATGGGCCAAATCCTTTAAATTATGGGGGCAATCCATTAAATTCTAATTATGGGGGCAATCATTTTAATAATTTTAACTATAGGGGCAATAGAAGATTTTCTCGAAATTATCCAAATACACCGTATCCAAATACAAATGTTGGTTTTTATCCTCCAAGAAATTATCGTCGAAATATCTTTTATAACCGTAATTATCGACCACAACCTTATTATACTGGATATGGAATTGTTAATCAGCCTATTCAACCTATGGCACAACAAGAGAGAAGATTTATTCGAAGAACATCGGCTAGAAGAATTAGTCAAAATCGACGTTCAGGAAGTCGTTCAAATCAAAGACGAAGTCGATCAAGACAACAACGTAGACGTGTTCCAAGGCAAATACGTTTAAATGATTTTATGCCACAAGAACTACGTGAACCTTCACCAAATCTTCCTAATGATTTTAATTTAGCTACAACAAATGCAGCTATAACTACAGCTTCAAATTTAAATAATGTGCCAGTTGATGCGTTACCACAACGTACCATTTTTGCTTCAAATGTAACTCAACCGTTTGTTGTCAACAATACAAATGTAAATGGACAACGACAACAGCAAGGCTATGGTTCAAATCAACAGCGACAACAAACAACTACAACAACATCATCATTTCGACGTCGAAATAGACGAATTCGCCAACAACAATATCGTCAAAATCAAAATATTATTGAAAATAATCGATTTGCTGTATTGGCTGAAAATAATCTTGACAAAGATGATAATGTTGATTTAGTATCAGATGTTGATGAAAATGAACCAGTTCTTGCTACAAATATTAGTAAGAAAAATCAAAAGAAAAAGAAAAATCGATCATATTTAATATATGATCGGATATTGACATGGATAGAAAATAATACATCAACAGCAACTAATAATATTATTGGAAAAAGTGGTAATCATGCTTATTTAATGGCTTCAATTCCTATATATGATGAATGGATTCGAACTAATTATGATATACAAGTTTGGGAAAATTATTTAAAAATGGGTACTGAAAATAAACATTGGGCAAAAGAAATTATTCAACGTACTAAAAAACGTGATGATGTAGTCAATACACAATTTGTAAAAAAGAAAATTAATCAATTATCAGCTACAGTTGCTCAAGCCAATGCAACTATAACGGATTTAAAAATTCAATTGCATACTTATTGGTCACAAATACCAGTTTATAAAAAAGGAAAAGAAAAAGAAAAAGAAAAAGAAAAAGGAAGAGCAACAACTGATGATGCAACGCAAACGGATTCTAATATAGAAGTCAATGCATCAACATCAGTAACACCTAAATCACCGGCTGTTCAATTAAGTATTGATACAATTCATAATAAAGTTGATGAATTAGAAAAATTAATTTTTCAATATTTAAAACATTGTACTCAACATGTTAAGAAAATGCATGAAACTCGTATTCAAGTAGCCAAAATTCAAATGGATGAATTTAAAGCTTTGGAAGATTTTGAACAAATAGCTACTCCATCTCAATGGAATATTCATTTAATATTGAAACCAAAAATGAAACTTTGGTCAACTAAAAATAAAAATTATCTTGCAGCAACGAAACGGGTCGAATACGATATGCCTCCAAGATTTATTGAAAAAGTTGATTTATCTTTTAAAATTGATGAATCAATTATTAGTCAAGATGAAGCACAAGCTACATATAATCAAATGAAACAAATTACTAAAGATTTTCGTATAGAAGCAATGACATTGTATGTTCAGTCATTAGCTCGAGAAAATGAATTATTGACAGATGAAATCAAACGTATTATTACAGGCTTCCCTCAAGATAATGATGAGGGATTTGATGCTGAACCTGGTTATGCAGCATTTAAACATTATCATGATTTACGTGAAAAACGATTAAAATTAGAAGCTGAACAATCAATTCATTTTTTAGTCCAAGAGAGAGTCGAGGGCGAAACAAACGAAGTTATTACCCCGACTCTGGTTCGATCGCTGGGCAAGGACTTCTTGCTCCAGCCATAATTAATGAAGCACAAATACAATTAACCGAGGACGAATATGAATTACTAAAATTAGGTCCTCGGTTTATTTATAATAGTCCAAAAACGGCATCTCGACGGCGGACAACTGAGTTGGCTACTCTTAAACGAAAAATTGAAGCTCGTTTTTTTGATAAGAAAGTTAGCCCCGGTCGCCCAGTCGAACAATTTATTGCCGAATTGGATTTAGTACTTCAAAAATTACATAATGAATCAACAATAAATCAGCAATATACAAGAAAAGATTTAATTAATACTTCAATACAAAATTCACTAAATCTAATACAATTAAGTCAACGTCAGAGTGGAAGCTCTAGATTGAATACTATTAAGAAAAAGAAAAATTGTGGTCGATTAGTAAAAAGATTAAAGCATAAATTAAAATTAACTAATATAATAATACGAAAATCAGACAAGTCCAAAGTATTCCATTTAGGTAAATTAGAAGATTATCGCAAAAAATCTGAAGAATATATGGAGAAAACAGAAGCCTATAAATGTTTAGGTACAATTGATCCATTACCAGATTTAATTCAAAGAACAAATAATTATCTGTTAAATTTACGACTAGCTAAATGGATTACTCAAAAACAATATGAAATGCTATGTATTAATTCTAATGAAGTTGAATTAGCCCATTTATATTATTTGCCCAAAGCTCATAAACCTGGTACTCCTCTTCGTCCAATAATTTCTGGTCTTAAACACCCTACAATTAAAATTTCAAAATTTCTTGATGAATTACTTCGGCCTTTATTTGATAAAATGGCTTTGAAAACCACTGTGACCTCTGGTTTTGAATTATTAAAGAAGGTACAAAAATGGTGTGAAGATAATTTGTGTCAAGAAACAATATTTTGTACAATTGATGTAGCAGACCTTTACACAATGGTGCCACAAACTGAAGGAGTACTTTCATTAAAGAAAATGTTAGACCATTTAAAATTAAAGCAAATTAATGGTCTCAAAATTGAAACAATAATTAGATTAAGCCGATTTGTTATGAAAAATAATTATTTTTCTTATAATGGTCAATATTATCATCAAATTCGTGGAGGAGCAATGGGTTCTCCTCTTACACTAACTGTTGCTAATTGTTATATGTTCTTTTATGAACAACAAATTATAAAACAAATTAATAATAGTGGTGGTTTATATTTTCGATATATTGATGATATATTTTTAGTAATAAACTGGCCTGCTCGACATTTATTTAAACAAATCGACAGATGGAATCATTTTGATGAAAACATCAAACTATCAGAAAATATAGGTCCAACGGCTGATTTTCTTGATTTACATATGGAAAATCAGGATGGTCAATTATTTACTACAATTTTTCAGAAACCATCTTATGAGCCATATTATTTACCGTTTAATAGTATCCATCCATTACATATGAAAAAGAACATAATATTTACAATGCTACTTCGTGCTCTAAGATATTGCTCAACCTTTCAAGAATATTTAAATGAGCGAGAAAAGTTACGAATGGCATTATTATTAAATAAATATCCAAATAAATTTATAGATGAGCAATTTAATAATGTATTACAAAAATTAAATATCCAAGCATTAACCTGTTTTAATTATGTTAATTATCGTCAAGAAGTAATAGATTCCCCAATAAAAGAAGTAGTACCAGTTGATTATGGAAAGACAATATTTATACATTTCACATATTGTTCAAGTATGAAAACATTTCCAAGGAAATTCCATACTCTTTGGAATAAATATTTTGGCGAATCTCCGATTAATGATGTTTTGCCTATTCTTGGTACACGTAATGTTAAGAATCTACAACGACAATTAACTTATACAAAATGAAAATTATAATAATATTCTAATAAATTTGAACAAATAGTTTTTCAGTTAAAAATCTTGATATATTCAATGATCATTATAAATTTATGATTTGTGATGATATTGGTAATTGCCTTCAAATAATATTAACTGATATTAATAGGTTTTATATTGAACAAACAATTCGGTTATTTCTCCAATCAGTAGTTATTAACCAATTACATCAAACGGTAGTTATCAACTAATCCCATAAATATATCGCTTACAAGAAGAGAATGACAAATGATCATCAAGATCCTTCTTGTTCAACTTTATCATCAATCGATCCAATAACTTTAATATTGTAAACAAAAACCTAAAATGAAAATTCGATTAAAAAAATCAACGCAAGAACCACTTTCTTCAATACAATTAACAGTAGCACTACAACAAGCAACACATCGTGCATCGGGATATTCTAAATATGAACATTGGCTCAATTCGGAAATTCCATTTATTAATCTTAATAATAAAGAAGTACAAAAAATGATCAATACTTAGGATTACCTGTTAAAACGAATTATGAATAATATTTAAATATTATTATTAAAGAATTTAAGATAAATGTTACGAAGAATTATCAAAAAATGAATTTAACAATAAAAGATAATCAAAACTTTATTTTAATCTTCAATATATTATTTGTAATGGATTCTCTTTTTTTCTTGTAATTCATTCTTCCTTTAATTTCCTTTTTTTCCTTAAGGTTGTTTCCCTTCAGTTATGGTTTATATTTATATATTTTGTTGCTGTTTTGTCATTTTTAACCTATACTTTATTTGTTTTTTTAAATGCAGAGCCCTGATGAGTGTTTCAAATTTTTAAATAAAATAAACATGAAACGCGTCGGCAAAATTAACTCTGCATTAATTTTTTAAACAAATTCTAATTCAAGCAAATTTATTTAGTATTTTTATATTTGACATAGAAAATCGGTTGCTGAAAAGCAGAAGTTGAGAGTAGCAGATTGATCTGTATTTTAAGAAATATAGGTCGGTCTGTTTTCCAATTGATTTAAGATTCTGACCCCTGTGAAAAGTCGAAACTATAGTCGTAGTTTCTTCAAATATAATACACACCGTATTCTAATATGAAGATTTCTCTGCTTCTGCGTTTTCATTCAAAAAATTGAAACGTGAGAAGATCTATTTTGGATCTTTTCAATTTGAATTTTTGCTTTGAAAATTTATGCAGTGCTTAAAACTACCTGAAGATTCTGACCCTTGAGAAAGGTCGAAACTATAGTCGTAGTTTCTTCAAATATAATACAAACCCACACCCCACCCCACACCCACACCCACACCCCACCCTTACATATATTTCCATCAAATGATTTCGAATTACTATGTTCTGATTATATCGAACAAACGGATATTTACCAATTCATTCAAAATATGGATACAATTGAACTAAGTGAACATGATAAATTTTATTCAATATTGTCAAACAAGTTCAAACGAAATTGGATGAGTTATTTTGTTCCAATTGTATTACTCAATGACAATATGATCAGATGCGAATAAGTCGTTCAGAAGTAGAATTAGGTTACTTAGTTTTTGCCTTAAATACTCCAATAAAGGTATGTTTACATTTTTTTTCTGGTTTTGTTATTCTTAAATACTGCTATATACTGTACTTTTTCAAAATTTCAACAAGGGTGATATCTATACAATTCGACCGGTAGTAGTTTGTAATAAGGGACCAACCATGCGTATTTCAAGTTATTTGAGTAATTTACTTTGGTCTCTCTTTCATCAACTAACAGGTTGTCGAACATTTCGCAATGGTATTGATGTTATTGAAAATTTCGAGTCATATGCAAGAAATAATTATCTACAATCGACAACTCTATTTGTTAAATTCAATATTTACGAAATTTGTACCAAATTTTCACATGAAATTATGATCAAGGCATTGGAACATTTTCTATTGATTTATGGTACTTAACAAGTGTCAATGGACGAAGAATTAACTATAGATACTATTCTTCAATTAGTTCGTCTTGTATTAGTAAATCAAATGGTACTCTATGGAAATTGCCTATTTAAACAAATCAGAGGTAGTGCTTCTGGTTGTCCATTGACTATTCCATTAGCTTGTATCTATCTATGTTATTCACAACCAGCATAGATGTCTGTACTGATGGCTCAAAAGCAACAAGAACTATTCGGAAGGTAATGATTAAAATTACAAATGTTCTTTTGTGTTGACTTATTTGATAATTATATTTATGACATTTCAATAGATTTCAAGATAATCTATTTCTTACATGGAATAGATCAGAAGATCAACTTCATTTCTTATTTGGAAAACCTATCATTGTCGATCAACATTCTCGATCGAGTCAAATAAAACTATTCATTGGAACATCTTTTCATTTTCTTGATATGGAAATATCTCATGATCAAGGTCATCTTCATACACGAATTTATCATGATCCTGTCGTGGATCAATACCAATTACCGAATCAATTTCAAGCGGAAAGATCATCATGTTTACCATCTCGATTATTACAATCTATGTTAATGTATGCTGTACGATGTTGTTCCAATGAACAGAATTTCGATTACGAACGACTTTATCTCAAACTTGTCTATCTTTTATATGGTTTCTCAGAAAATTTTTTTAATAATTGTATTGAACAATTTTATAAGCAATTTTATGCTTGTGAAGTCAATTATCTTGTTGATAGAGTTCCATATGAAACTTTACGTCGACGGGTGAAGAAACGTTATTAACAATTAATCGATGTGAAAAATAAATGGTCGAAGGAAATAGAAATGATTCATTCTATTGCATACCCAAATTTGGATACAGATTTGTCAATCATGGATTATTTTAAGTGTCAAATATTTGATCTATTGAAAAAATGTTTTCTATTTGAACCACAATTCAATGAAAATGTGATCGACATAGAAACAGATGCAATCAATAATATTCCTTTATCAATGATAAAATATTTTGAGAAGCAAAAATCATGCCGTGAACTTCTAACTTTACCAATCGAAGAAAGTGATGAATATGATAGTATGTGTCAATGAATTTGAGTCATCTATCATTGACTGAATGATCTATTTGTTCTAGGTGCCGACGACTAAACAAAATACTTCATTTGCCATAGAAAGAAAACGAAAAACAATTGTACAATAAATTGATTCTTTGCATTGTTTTCTTTTTAGTTAATTTTAAGTTATTGGTCGAGACATTAGTCTTTCTTTTCTTTTTTTTTGTGACTTCGACATATACACAAGCTAGATGGAGTCACATTTTGAACAAAGTCTTTTACATTTTTATCATTCTAGATCTAAATTATTTCATTTCGTTCAACGACAATACTTCACTTCACGTTTACTGAAACAATATTCATACATAACAGTCAGGTAAAGATGCTGCTGTCTCTTTTTTTTTTCTTTTTGGGGAAAGTAGACAAAGGAATTGCTGTCAATTTTAAGGTATGGATATGACAAAGGACAAATGTAGCGATGAAAATAATACATTTTTAAAACGTCAGAATATTGAAGGTCAAGATTTGAATGAATTCAATAATTCTGAACCCCTACTTCATCGACAAGAACAAAAAGTAAGAGAGATTTTTTTTCTTAATAAGTACAATTATATTGCTTGAGATATGCATAGAATTGCACTTCAATGAAGGACAATGGATATAATGTGAACAACATCATGAATGATATGTCGATGATATTTGATGATGAACAAGATGACGAGGAATGGACTTCGACTGATGACGACGATGATGATGATGATGGCGATGATGATGATGACGATGGATGGATTTTGTATGATGACAATTATTGTGAAGACGAAGGTAATAAGTTGTCATATCATCATAGAGAGCCAGAAGAATTAAAAGATCTTGACTGGAATGCTTTACCAAATTTTATACACCATCTCGACTATAACCAATTGAAGATACATGAACGTCAAAAGGCTCATGCTGAAAATCGTACTTTATTATCTATTCGACGTAAAATGATTGCTGATAAACTTATTTGCAGATTACCATACAAGGGCACTGAATATTACATCACTTCTAAAAAGAATTTTCAACAAAAAGAAACTGATTATATGAAACGAACGGGTGCTTACAAATTAATACATATTCTAACTGGAGCTCATCGAAATGTTAGTCGAACATTTCTAGCCAATATTGTCGAGCAGGTAAAAATGAAATTGCATAATTTATTTGATTCAAAATGTATCAGTGAAGTACACTGTAATAAAATGAATATTGATCGATTATCGGTTAGAATGCATTATCTTTATTTTGTTCCAGAAACTCACAAAGTACGTAAGCTACCGCTTGTATTTCTGTCTACATTATTATTTGTAATGAAACTTCTATAGGAAGGAATTCCAGTTCAACCAATTATGATATGTAATGATGGACCAACCATGAACATAGTCCGTTATATAACACCTCTTCTATGGTCTATTTTTGATCGAGCAACTAATTGCAGACGATTTTCCAATGGTGCTATCGATGCTATACATGCCATTGAACATTATGCTCAAATAGGCCATCTTAAATCTCGAGCTCTCTTCGTCACGTTCAATATGGATGATTTGATGAGCACTTTTTCTCATGATCAAACAATTGCAGCCTTAAAATATTTCCTTGTTGAATATTTATCAGATCAGAAATTGGATGGTCTTACAATTGATACTATTTTAGAATTAGTTCACCTTGTTTTGAATAATCAATTCTATGTTTATAATTACGCTTTGTATCAACAAATTCATGGTGGTGCTTCCGGTTTACCATTAACAATGTTCTTAGCCTTCATTAATGTGTTTTATGGACAACATCGAGATATTGTAAAATTAATGAAAGAAAAAAATGAATTTTTCGGCAGGTATGATTGTCTTTGATAATTTCTTCTATAGTGTTAGAAGTTATTTCTCATCTATTTCTATTGATAGATATCGAGAACAAGCAATTTTAACATGGCATGAATCCGAAGATGAATTTCGTACATTGTTCAATCAAGGTGCTATTAATACTGAACATACTCGAAATATCGCAAAAATGTTCATTGGGTCAACTGTACACTTTCATGATCTGGAAATTAGACATGTGAAAAATGGAATGCTCGAAAGTAAAGTTTATTATGATAAAGATATTGATAGTCGTCTACCCAATGTGTCCGATGAACCACCAATAGAAAACAAATCAAAACATTTACATGCTGCTCTATATCGGGCTGTTCGATGTTGTTCTGATGTCGAGAAATTCGATCGTGAACGACTTCATATCGAAGTGTCATTTCTGACATCTGGTTTTACACCAGAATTTATTCACTCGGGTATGGAACGTTTTTACCAAGAATTTGGTATATCAGGAAAATTCTTTCCATCACTTTTAAATGATAATGAATATGGTCATTTACGTCAACGTATTATACAAGATGTTGAACTTCAAATGGAATTGAAGCAACAGCGTGAACGACAAAAACAACATACACTATTCATACCACGTCTACGTTATCTTGATCAAAAAAGACAAGATGTTTTCAAGGCACGTTTTCAAGATTGGTGGAAGAAATATTACGGTAATGAACCAAAAACGAAACATATTCAGATCAAATGGATAGAGCGAACATCAACTCGTTTGGAAAATAGTGATATTCTAATCAATAAACGACCACCTCTTCATCTGTTAACTTTATTGAAACATGATCAAAATAAAAAGAGTTCGTATTACTTGATTTTTATTTTGCTCTTTTCGTCAGTAATAATATCTTATTGTTATTATTATTTTTTTTCGGGTAGGTTACCGTCCTATTGATGGTCTTTAACAAACGAGATTCGTCAATACTACATGGATTAATAAACATTGTTTGTTTTAATTGTTTTATTCGTAGAAGTAGTACGTTTGAAGTAGAGTAGTATCAGTATCGAATAAATGATTTGAAAAGTACAAGTGCTTTTTTTTTTGATACTCTATCATATAAACTGATGTTAACTGGTTTAATTGTCTTTTTAGATATATTTCTATTCATAGGCATTGTTTATTAATACGAGCACTATGACTGACAATCGATTTCCTTATGATCAACATCGTTGGTAGAGTCAAATTTCGACTAGTTAAGTGCATACCTTTTTGGAATTTCTCTTAACAGCCATTGAAGCAATGATATAAAAAAATGGTCTATATTGCTTAAATGCTCAATTCAAACATAAAAAGATCACGTTAAAATCCGATGAAACAAATTCAACCTCTGACGAGCACTTTGAGTATGGGTAAGATCGATTGATAGGGCTTTGAAGACATACCCAAAACAACTGCCATAAACAAAAATTGTATCTCATTTCACATGATTATTCATATATGTGTTGCAATGTTATTATTGCATTATGTGTATTGTCTTTTTTAGATAGCGATCAAATTCTAGATTGTTTCATTCATATATATTTTCCGTATAATAAATCATGGCAAGATCATCAAACAATTTCAAGACAAATTCCTATGACAATGACAATTTTGATGTGAATCAAGTAAGACGCACTTTTTCATGCCCTACATATAATTTTGTACCAATATTTATTTGATAGTGTGGAAATTTTCATTTGTCTGCTACGGCAATATTTAATGATCTTGATGCATGTGATAATAATCATATTAATAAGGACGATGATGAAGATGCCAATCATCTAGTAAAACAAGATTATGATTTAGATAATATTTATGCTAGAGAACGAGTCGTCGATGACAATGAATTAGATACAGATAGTGATGACGAAGATCATAACGGTATGGAAATCATGGAAATAGAAGATGTCATATCCACAGATACATTGAGAAAGTCTCCAAGAGGCAACAAAATCAAAGTAGAATCTAGTTGCTTCATCTTTTTCATTTGTGAATTTGTTTTGTCGTTTGTAGCCGACCGAAGAACATGTTCTATCACAGAAATTGAGTCAACTGTCAACCTCCCGGCAAAAACAATCAGAAATAGAGTCGAAAAAGAAGCAATCAAAAAAGATGAAACCAGACCAATTAAGAGAAACGCCGAAGTATCTTACCAAAAGTAATAAATCATTTGAAAAAATGATTAATTCAATCTTATCTACCAACACAATGACAGCGGTAGCATCATCATCCGACAACTTAGAAAAATATCGACAAATAGCTATTTTGATTCATCGAATCAAGTACATAGAGATTTTATATTCTGTTTGGAAAGTGTATTTACAATCGGGCTTAGGTCAATTAAAGTCCGATTTTTCTCGAAATGAATTACGTCCACATGTATGGGTAAAGTCTGTTCAATCGATGGTCAAAATGGCTGTTCGTTCAGGTCTCGAAAAGCATGATGC